TTCCTTTTTAATAAACATTTTGCGAATGTCTTTTTTTTCCATCCCCACTGGATGGAGTCTGCCCTAGATTTACTGCATGCCAAAAAAAAAAAACTTGGACTCCCCTGTAAAACTAAGGACAAGGGGGAACAGCTACTAAACCCCACGTTTTCCCTACAGGCTAACAGCATTTTTTTTTTTTTTTTTTTTTTATCTTGAGAGTGACCCTCAACTGGGCTTGAAACAAGATTTTGGAAGTCATTGTCTGGGTGCATTTGTTTTTGGGATGCCTGCCATGGCATAGCAGGTTGAGTGGATCAGCAGTGAGGTGTGTGTGGCTCGGTGCAGAGGTCTGAAGTGAGGCAGGCTGTAAACTGAGGATTAACATGGCAGGTTGTGCAGCAAGGCCGTGAAGAACGTGCCTGGAAGAGCCCAGGACCAGGCCTGGTATGGCAAGAGGTAAAGGAGGTCAAGATAAGGGGACATCGTCAGACCTCTGTTAAAAAAACCAGGAGCAAAAATAACGAGGTGTGCTGCAGTTAGATGGAAATGCTGCGTGGAAAGGCCCAGATGGGAACTATTAAGGGTAGCCTGTGGTCAGAGCTGCATAGGAAGCAAACAGATACAGCAGCCTGTTCTTCCCTCGTGTCTCTGCCCTTCCTGACAGCAGGATCCTTGTGGATGTCGCTGGTTTGGCTGCCCACGCTGCAGTGCCCCGACACATCTCAGCGCTGAGATTTCGCTGCTGGCACGGCCCTGCCTTGCCACAGTCACCACTCAGCCGCAGCAGAGGCACAGACAATCTGTATCTGCCCTCTGGATTATCTTTGTAGGGGTTTTTGTGTGTGTGTGTGTGTGTGTGTGTGAAGGGTTTAGTGCTTCAGAAGAGATAACCTGCGTTATCAGGGCACGCTGACTGCAGCTGCCGGTCAGATTAGCGGGGGCACCTCCATTCCTTCCCTGCCTCTTCGCAGGAGGGACATCTCTCTCAAGCTCAGTGGTGGTCTGACTTAAATCTTCCCTAAATCTTCCCTAGGGCCTTAGGAGCCCCAGCAACACTCTCACCTCTTCCTCACAGGCATGACTTTGTTTTCCTTTATCGTCTGATGACCAGGCCACCCTGAGTCAGGGCAGTCACAACCAGCAGTTCTGCTTGCCAGGAGCTTTTTTTAATTGGGGGCAAATACTAAAGGTTTCTCTCCGCTGCAGTTTGTTGTGTTAGATACTGCCTGGCTGGATGTGCTGGTAAAAAAAAAAAAAAAAAAAGTGCAAAATGTTCCCGTTGAGTGAGATTGTGGAAGAACTGTCATTCCTTCGAGGCATTTACCAACTGCATCTTGTACAGAAATCTGTGTCCTGTACCACAAACTGCCTGAAAGAGCTGGAATGCCTTGTTCTAATTTAGGGACTTGGAATCCTTGAAGTAGCAGAGACAACTGTGTTTCTATTTTAAAATCAAACCGGGAAATTTCAGGGAGTTTGGCTGTGTTGGCCACACTCAAATGGAGCACAGGGAAGAGATGTCCAGGGATTCCTAAGAACCCTTAGGAATTAGTCCCACAGTGTCTCAGGGGAAGTATTTACAATTACAGGGTCTGACAGAATTAAAAAAGTTGAGGGAGTTCATAAAATCCAGCTTTAAGATTTAGTTTGGATGGTCAGAATGGCTTCTGCAGAGCAGAACAGCAAACCACAGAGATGGAATCGTGAACTCTGACCAGTTTAAAAATACTTATCACACACAAAAAAGTAAAAGCCTGCAGTTTTTTTTCTGCACAAGCCCAGTAGTTCCAAGGGTTCCAGTGGAAGGAGGTCAGGTCACTTTGGGATACTTCTTGCTTCTGAGGTGAACATTTGCCTAGCTCTGCTAACAAAAATTAATTTAGAGCAGAAGGTCTCTTGGTCTGTTTGACCTTAAAGCTGTTGAGCTGCATATTTTCCTATATTGTAATGACATTAGGGTATAATGGAGAGTAGTATTTTGTGTCAGAGGTCTCTGTGGGTCCAGTTGTCCACGTGGTAGGGTGGTTTTAATTATTAGATATTTATATAAATAAGGAATAGCTAGCTACATGAATTGTGGGTAATATCCACAATAATATCTATTTACAGGATATGAATATCAGAGCAGAAGATAACGAATGAGGAACTGGAGATTTTTAAAATAAATTCCCCAGTGAGCTGTAGTTGGTCTTTAATTCTTCATTCTAGAGCAGTTGGTATTGGTGAAAGTGGAAATTAGGATGTGAGACTACTGGGAGTAGGGCTGATTTTGTGCAAGGCAGTTTGAAACTGTAACCTGGAAAGTTTAACTTACTTGTGATAATTCTTGTGTTCATGTATTGGCCTCCTGACAGCTGCTTCATACAAAATTAACCTGAATTGGGAACATCAAGGTGTCCTGATTTTTTTTTTTTTTTCCCCTCAGCCATTATGGTTTATTTTTGTGTCTGTGCTGGACTCCTTTTTCACTCACTGTGCTTACTGCTGCAGTCCTGGGCTCCCAGGATGGTTGCTGTTATTGATTTTAAGTCATCTTCTCACCTGTCTGTTCTTTAATGTTGTGTATTTGTTATTGATTAAATAAATAGCTAAAGGGCCTGGTAGCACCATCAAAGGATAATATCCACTGATGCTTTTTGGACCATTTTGTTTTATGATATTCATGTTTGTTTTTTTGCTCTCTCTCTTTCTCCAGGTAATTGTGGAAAAAGCACCAAAAGCCAGAGTACCTGACCTAGACAAAAGGAAGTATCTCGTGCCTTCTGACCTCACAGGTAACAATGTTTACCCTCCTTTCTTCCTGATTTTCAGTGAGAAGGCTTCAGGAGTGCTTTTTACTCTTATGATCAGCACGAAGGAAACATCCAGACAGGCTCAGCATCTTATCATTTACCCCACTTCACCTGCTGCCCTTGCTGTATTTCTGTACCTTCCAGCCTGGATTAGAACGTGGAGAATTCCCTGAGGTGTCCCAGTGCCTTGGCTGCCGTGGCTGTGTCACAGCTGAGTTCTGACCATGACTGGGCAGCAGCATAATCATCAGTCAGCGATGACCAGGGTTGCCAGAGGCTGTGTTCTTGTTGCAGGAAGAGACGAGTTCTTGAAATAGTCCCATCCTTCTCCACCCCTGTGGTTGGAGTCATAGCTGCAAAGTTCCTTTTCCCAATGGTCACAGTGATTTTGTGTGTGATTACGTTTGTTTTCACTGAAGAATGTGAATGAGTTAAAAGAGCAGCATTTTATTTGGGGGTTTTTTTTGCAACATGGAATGGACTGTGAAATACTTTCTTGTGCAACACAGTTCAAGCAAATAGCAAGGATTTATTTTTTTTTTCCAGGAGTGGTGTGACCATTTACTCCAAGGCTAAATTCCCTAAGGTGTCTTTGAGCTGTGGGATTTAAAGGTTAAGCTGGTTAAGGGTCTTCCCACCAATCCCCTCAGTAGAGCATTTCATACCATAGTGTGGAGTGTGGATTTAGAGAGTACGTGGCATGAGGTGTGTACCTGAGAACCTGCCAGCTCCCAGTGGATTGGCTGCTGATGTGGTTACAGTCATGAGGTTACTGCTTGCTTTCCCTGCTTTTTTTTTTTTTTCCCTGCAAAGTTCATTTTCCCCTGCTTTTTATATACAGCATGTGCCTTCCATGACCAAAAGAAAACAGCAAACAACAAAACAAAAAACCAAACCAAAACAAAACAACAAACAAACAAACAAAACCCCACCAAAATAAACAAACAAAACCCCCAGCCCACATTCTTTCTGCCTCTAAGGCCTTCTCTGTTTTTCTTCAGTGGGTCAATTCTACTTCTTAATCCGAAAGCGGATCCACCTGAGGCCAGAAGATGCCCTGTTCTTCTTTGTCAATAATACCATCCCTCCCACCAGTGCTACCATGGGCCAACTCTATGAGGTAAGCAACGTGTTGGTCCTGCTGTTTTGGCAAAGTGTGGAAATAAACCACTCCATGTGTCACAGGAAGGATTGTGTCTGGGGCAGGGAGGGGGCAGAAAAGAGGCCCTGGCCTTCCTGTTTGTGCAAAGGAGATTTCCTTTCAGCCAGTAAAAGGACACAGTATCACTGGGCAGCCAACTGTCTATAAATAGGTCCTTAAGGAACACTCATTCTTTGGTCAGAATTAGTTTTTCATTGCTTATGCTGTTTAAGTGAGCACTGTGTGGGATGCTGTGAACGTTGCTGCCCGCTGTTTCTGCTGAGCACTGTTATTTGATCGACCTTAAAGGCACATTCGGTGCCCATCAGAGGAATGTCCCTAAGTTATACAGCCAGGATGTCATGGGTGGTTTGCAGCCTGCATTGATTTCTCCTTGATCTCTCCTTCTGCTGTGTTAGTGTGTTTTAATAAAAGAGCTGCAGCGTGGAGCTGTGAGCCTTGTCTGGCCTGTCACCCTCTGGCAGTCACTGGACTCTTCCTCAGCGTGTGGGGTGATGAAGATAACAGAAGATAACACAGGCAGGGATTTTTCCAAGTCTGAACACGTAGGAGGAAGCTGTCTGACTGTCCAGAACTGAGACTGACAGACTTTTTGTGTCAGTGTAATCACTGAACATCTCAGCTCTCTGCTGCCCGCATGTAAAACAGGACTCAGAAATGCAGCCACGTGTCAGAGCGTTCCAAAAAATTAAAAATACCATCTAGAGGTGACCTTTTTGACTTGTTTAAAGCCTACCAAGGCTCTCTTCTCCATGTGGCTCTTCAAGTAAATTCACTGTAGCCAGATATGTGCCGTGCCTGTGCTTGGAAAGGAGAGCTGTGGCCAGAGGCAGGGAGTTGGGAAGCGAAGCCTTCAACGTGAGCAGGGAGAAACAGTGAGAGAGAGGTCGTGCCCTCTGGTTACAGTGACCTCTGGGTTGGGCTTTTTCACCTGTGGCGAGTCCCGGGGCTCTGGTTTGTTACTGTGTCCCTTTGCCCCCTTGCAGGATAACCACGAGGAGGACTATTTTCTGTACGTGGCCTACAGCGACGAGAGCGTCTACGGCAAGTGAGCAGCAGCCCCTCAGGCCTGCAGGGTGGATGGACTGATGGAGTGGATTGGCATGGGGAGGGGGGTTGTTGGAGAGGCAGGAGGAGGATGCATGAGAAGAGGGAAAAGAGAAAACTGGAGGTGAACCACCGTTGCACACTGTCATCGACTTCCACACATTAATTATAACCATTATTTTTTTAAATCGAGGGGAGGGAGGGGAGGGGGACGGTGGACTGGAAGAACTAACAAGGGGTTCCACGCTGAGGGATGGGGAGGCTCCACTGTTCACAGTTCTTCTCTTGCCACAGCTGTAAGTAGTTAGCTCGTGCCGGAGGCTGCTGGACAAGGCAGTGTGGGGAAGCTCCAGGAGAGTGACTGGGCAGGATGGCCATTCCCATGTAACCCTTTCGCTGGATGAAGAAGGCATGCCATGTATTGTGCACTGACCCTGTCGTGTCCCCACACTGCTGTGAAATGCTTCAGTCTTGCTCTCACAAGGCTGTCCTGTGCTGACAGTCCTCACTCCAGCTGCTGCCTGTGAATTGTTCCAAGGGTGTTGTGTTTCCCATCACTTCCATCAGTATTAGAAGGGCTGACTCTGTCCACCGGTACTAGAAGGGCTAACTCTGAGGGCTGGGGACTCCTCAGCTGTGAGACATGAAGATTGGGGAAAGGAAGGAAGGATTTTTTAAGGTGGTTTTTTTTTTTTTTTTCCCTTTGTTGCTTTAATTGCAAGTGCTGGACAGAAAAATTGGAGACGGCCTTTTGTTCTTTTCAGTGAAGTCAACTGATAAATTGGTAAGCACAGGGCTAGGAAGGACCTCAAGAGAAGGACTAGCCCCCCACCAGCTCTGAGACAGGACTGAGTGCACCAAACATGTCCACTGTGGCTGCTCAGCACACTTGTTCTTAGTAAACCTCTCTGAGGAAGACTCTGGAGGCTGCTGAGGTTGAACTGTTCAGGTTGCTTTTCCTGGTAACCCAACTTTAGTCTCCCTTGCTGTGCATTAAGACAACTTAACTACTAGTGGTCTTGCTGTTGGTGAACACAGAAAATCATCTCTCAGTGTCGTCCTTGTACCGGTCCTCTGCAGATTTGAGGATGGCAGGAGTCCTGTGGGTTTAGCCTTCCCTTCCACGCCTCGTCCCTGTACGGCCCTTGCACCACATGCACAAGTGGAAGAAATCAGTCACTGCCACGTGTGTTTTGCCGGCTTTTTGTGATTGGCTAACGGTGCCACTCTTTGCCACAACAGAGGTTCTTTTTAGACTTGAAGGGGGAATAGATTATCTGTAGATTTTTTTTTTTAATTATTTTATTTTAAACCAGTGTTGTTCTTAGGAAGGTGCCAGATGGGTGATGTCCTGTGCAAGCCTTATGCTGTCATGCCAAAGCAGTTTTCTTCCCAGTGGCACAAACAGCAGATTTTCCCGTAACTGTGATGAAGGAATGGGTTTTTGGAGAGTGAGCTGACTTTCAGGAAAATCCTGGGGTCTCATCTAAGAATCAGAGAACTAGACCTGACTTACTGTAAACATTCCTACATTTAAGAGAGGGACCAAGAGGGAGGAAAGGGCAAGAAGGATGAAGAACACAGGCAGATTCCACAATAAGTTGAAGGTGTTTGCTCTGTTGTTAATAAAGTTAGATCCCAGTTCCCTGTGTTCCTCGTGAATGAGAAATCAAGATGAGTGCTCCTCTGATTGTGGGAAACAGGAAATCAGGTTTCAGCCTTCTCTGAGCGTTGTCATGCAGAGGTACATGAGGCAGAAGAGCTCAAGGGTGTGTCAGGCAGGAGTCACTGGCAGAGCTGTGTGAAGGTCAGGGAAGGCAGTGCAGAGGGGCAGGAGGGTTACTCTCTGTGGGGAATGGAAAGTGGCAGAAGAGTGGGAAAGAAGGGAGGAACCAAAAAGGATGGATAGACAGGCTGGTTATAACAGGCAGACAGAAAATGAGGGAGCAGAGGAGGAAATGGGGGGGATCATATCCCCAGTGTTACAGCCTGAACTTCAGGTGTGCTGTTCCCATCCATCTGGAATAAATGTGTTGGGATGAGTTTGTACCTACTGCCAACTTGGGTAACTTCAGTTTTCTGCTTGCACTGCTCAGTCCTCTCATTTAGACCCGCTCTCCTTCAACTACCAGGCTCTCCTCACATCCTTAGGGTGCAAATCCGTTATCAGTCTCATGTTTTAGGAAGTTCTGAACGTTCTCAAGCGGAGAACAGACCCAGGGGGGCTTTCCAGGGTGAGAGGCAGGAGACAGGCAGCTGGTGTGCATCTCTCTGCTGCTGTCCCACTTGTCCACGCGTGGGCTGCCAAGCACGCTCAGGGGAGGAAGGGTTGGCATCTGGGGCGCTTGGTTTTGTGTTCAGACCTCCCCTCCCGCTGCTGGGTTTATAAATGACACGTGGGACTAATCACAGCTGTTTGTTACATGTAGAGTTTACAGTTTAGTTCTTTTTAACAGTTCTTTTAACTGGATTGTGGCATTTACTTCTGTTTTTGTGCTAGTCCGGTATTGTACGAGGTAATGACGGTAATTTTTTTTTGTGTTGGTTAGCTGCAGGTTCTTGTAAAATAAAGTTCAGACTAGAGCTTAATCAACCTATCAATAAAGATGCATTTGAAAATCACAGATTGATCCAAAATGGGTGACTGGCATTTCTTTCTGACATGGGCTTATGTCCCAGTTTAATTGAGACAAAGGTCTTCTGCTGAGGATGGATTAGGAGAAAAAGACCCAAACCTTCTTTTCTAGCAATTATAGATCTGAAATTAAGAGGCTCCGATTGAAGGAAAACAAATTATGGAAAAGGGAAAAAAAAATAACAAGTAAAACATCCAAGCAATACCCCTATACCCACCAATAATCCCCTTCAAGAACAAAACCGATAAAACCGGCAAAA